TATATTTATTTTTCACAAATAATCATTTGTTTCTTCCAAAGAATGTTCTTGTTTCTGTCAAGCTCTGATTTCTTTGATACAAATTTCATTTATACATATTATATTTATTCATCACAAATAATTATTTATTTCTTCCAAATAATTTCCTTGTTTCCCTCAAGCTTTCATTTCTTTGATGCAAATTATACTTATTCTCTATGAATAATTCTGATCATAAATCCAAAGAAATAGTTTTGATTCAAACAAATATACACTTTCTTCCAAATTATGAATCATATCATTTTCAATAAATTATATAGATACAAAAAAATCACTTATTTGAAAAATCAAAAGAATGGAAACTTTGATTCAACCAAGCTTGTTTGTTGGACCTATTCAAACTTCGGATTTCTTTGAATTTAACAATATTTGTTAAATTCAAAGAATTGTTTTTCTCTGTGTGGTTTAGTTATTTTATGCATATATATCAAGCATTGGTACATATGTAGTTTGTCAATATCGAAGGTGTCAAGTTCTTCGTAAAGCTTATCTGTGAAGAAATATTTGTCTCTTTTGAAGGCTATTTTCAGTATACACAGTTCTGAGTAGTTTTCAAAATTTGTAAAGCACTGTTATAAGTTCCTCCCCATAAAACTATACAGTATGTAAATAGTGGTTCAATTGAAGATTTATATATAAGTTTCAGGCTTCGCTTGTCTAGTATGCATCTAAGTATGTAGAATTTTCGAATCAATTGCCTTGCTTTGTTGTTTACATATACCGCATGATCGTTCCATTTCAGGTGTTGGTCGACAATTACGCCAAGATATTTAATTTTTTCGATTTTTTGAATAGATGGACAGTTGCAGTTTGGTTGAGAACATGTTTTGTTATGGAGCATAATATTGTATTTGTTTGGTTGTGTGTCGGCATATGCGGTGAATGTTAAAAATTTACTTTTAGACGTATTTAGTGACAACTTGCTATATTCGAGCCATTGTGAGATTTCAGTAAGTCCTTCTTTAGCTTTATTATACAAATTATCCCAGTTTTTATCAGTAAACAAAATTGCAGTATCGTCAGCGTATGAAACAAGATGTCCTTGGAACTCTTTTAATTTTGCAATGGAGTTTATATATACTAGGAAAAGAATTGGACCCAGTACTGTTCCCTGTGGTACACCTGTTGTTATTTCAAGTGGTGTACTGTAAATATGATCAATTTCCACTCTCTGATATCTGTGTCCTAGAATACCGAAATTTGCCGATATCGTTATTATTTTTTTCTGACGTTATTTGAGGATATACATCAGGGTGTCTGTGAAAGGTTGGGACATGGCTTGACTGTGGACTCCTGGGATAAAAACAAGTTGATTCAGGCCAACTCACCTACATATATCCGAAATCGACTCGTTGAGTTGGTACAAGGCGTTGAAGTTTTTTTGGAAAAATATAATTTTGCCCATGAAAAGAGTAGGCTGACATCGATTTCCATAATTTTTGGCATGGCATGTTCTGTGACTGTAAGTCACTTTTTGAGATGTTTTTGATCATCATCGACCTGCAAGTGTTTTGAACAACCATGTTGGCGTACAAAGTTGGTGATAGAAATTTCCGTTTTTTTTTCCAGAAAGATATTACTTTCAGAAGTATGTTTTGTATCGTGTTAATTTCTGATAAGTCTCGAGGTTCATTTGCAAATATATAATTTCTGATCTGAGGCATCTTATGCATTTAAAAAAAAACTGGTTGGGACATGGCTTGACTGTAGAGGGATAAAAATAGGTTGATTTCAGCCAACTTATATCCAAAATCGTTTTTGTTGAGTTGGTACAAGTTCTTACCTTAGGTCCTGAATACCCATCACTAAATTTGTAATGCGAGAGTTCTTGTAGAGCCCGCGAGGACCAGCAACATATCAGTTTGTTCACAATGAGAATACATTATAGCCAACTCAAGGACACGATTTTGGATATAGGTAAGTTGGCCTAAATCAACTTGTTTTATCCCAGGAGTTCACAGTCGAGCCATGTCCCAACCTTTTATAGACACTCTGTATAGAAAAACAAGACACCTTCTCATTGCTACTTCTCTAGCTCTACAAAACAGCGGTGACCGTACGACGTTTCGTTTCGGAGAAACCATCATCAACTTTATTTTTTTATATGACCCGAAAACAACTTATATAGGAACCCTGTAATGATATCAATGCTTTTTTGTAGAGCTCGAAAAGTGACGATGAGAAAAGCATCCTTATCTTGGACACACTGTATAGAGTACCTAATTTACCTTGTGAACACAAATGAATTTTCCAACTTGGAGTTGAATTAAATACCTACTTGAAAATGATATGCTTTTATATTTGATCATTTTCAATCTTCCCAGAGATTTTTAGTTTTCCAGCTCTACAAGGTGTGCCAAAAGTCGGCTCCAACTTTTTTATTTTGAATAGATACCTACATTGTTTCCACACGGTTCGTATATCCTTCTAATTCTGAGTTCAGACAACCTGAATTATGTTAACTTATCTATCACAGTTTTCGAGATATAGGTTTAGATTTTACTGATTATTCCAGTCACTTCAAAATACACGTTTTCGATTTGATGAAATATCTGTGTTAATAATCGGAAATATCATTATCTTTTTGATCTTGTATTTCGGCAGTTGATTGAACACTGGTGGATACGAATTGTTGTGTTTTAGAATTTTAATTTCGCTTCCTTATTATTTGATCAATGATAAAACAAAAAACTTATGGCTGTCATGGATGGCATAATATTTTCATATTCAGGAATTCAACCCAAAATCGGGATATAGGCACTTTGTACCGAAGAAATTCAGGATTTTGTATGTTTGGCATTTCTGGCACTTTTAATGTCTAAGATGAAAATTATTTTATAAGTAATTCAATATGTTGAATATTTATAACATGAAAATTGGCCATTTATATTGTTAGTAGCTATACCTACCCTACCATCGTTCAGTATACGTCGAAAGTCTTTAAATAACAAATATATGAACTAGGTGACTACTCTATTCCAAAATAATTACATAGCATTGGGTGTTCTCTAGCAGACCACTCTGTACCTAATCTTGACCAGGGACCCCACTGATATAAACGGCTGGACTAACGAGTTATTCCGTTTGGTATCCAGTTTAGGTTCCTGAAACAGAATTAAAATGTATTATTTCCAAACTGACTAAGATATTGGACATCCACTATAAATTTCTATTTGTATTGTTGATACTCACCTTTGACAATAATTATTCCTTGAATGGGTTATCTATTTTTGTGGCTCTGGTACTGCAGATACCCTTTAGCAGATGGGATTATTCCAGATTTGCTGGCCTTTTTGGGTGAGGTTAACTCACGCCTGGACCTCGCCGGATTTTGTCGACGACCTAGAACTGCTTCTGTCCCCGGTTACTACAAGTACCTGCATGTCAAGCAGTCTGCCCCAGCTTTGGAGCCCTGTGACGATCATCTGCTGCCCAGGAATGTTGAAGGCCCCGCTGTTCCTCTAGGACCACCAGGACACGTGACAAAACGGCCCGCATTGTCCCATCCAGGCACTGGCCCCATGAGACTCCTGGGAAGTCGTGGTACTCTCATTTCTGCTGTTTGCTGTGTGGCTTCTTAGGCCCTCAGGCTGTGTAAATTGCCGGCCATAATTGCTTCTGGGACCACAAGGTTAGACCCATCCAGTTTGTACTGATCAAAGGGGGGATATTTTCATGAATCCCATTTAGGTGGATTTTACCGCTCGAAATCATAGATATATGATTTTCCTAAATTTAACTATGAAATTCATCAATTAATACACAAAATAGAGTTTCATGTAACTATTAAGTCTCACACCAGTTTGTGAACTCATATATTGGCCAATATAAGAGGGGTAACTTTGATAACTGATAGTGTTTTTAGGCACCCTGTTGTAAAGACAAGTATATCAACTTTCACAACTGCTAGAAAAAAGTTCAATTAGAAAATAACTGGAACAATACTTGGTTGTGTCCAAGAATTTCTCTTCTTTTATATAAATAAGTTGTGTCCTAGTGTTTCTCTTCTTTTATATAAAGTTCTATTGATGGGTTTATTAAATGAGTGTAGTCCAACTGAGATCTTTTATTCCCAACAGTTTTCTTTTCTCAATTTTTGCTAAAATGAATTGGGTGGCGCCTGACAATATAAATAGGACCCCTATTGATAATCGAACCCATACTTTGCTCCCTAACAACAGAGCTGCCACAACTATAACGAATAAATAGCTAAATAGAAAATATTCGTTATAAATTATTGAAAAAATTGGTTGCCTGAAAAAATCCTGGTCAAAAATTCGTATACTCCTTACTATTCGAGAAGTTGTCTCCTAATTGCGGATAGAATGGTATCCTTATTTCGTACATCATCAATTACTACAATGAGAAATTCGGCGCCAATTCAGAAGGGGATGCTGAAACCAAATCTCTGGACATGTGTAAAGAAAATAATAGCAGAAATGAACTCCTTCAAGAAAATCTGTGTTGAGGAAATTAGTGGTCCAAACATAACAAATCGCAAAATATGGAAAATTGGAAACTCTCGATCCAAAATTAGGAATTTTCACATGTAAGGTTAGTTTTCTTCTAACATTCTTTACTTGTGTACATATATTTTTATAATACTACATGTGAATATCATGAAATAGGTAGTGAACATACGAATGGTATATAATAGCGGAAGTTTTTCAAAATATAGGAACATACGGGAAAGGTCTAAACAGACTTTTCAATATCAGATATTATAAAATGGTGCAGCGCAAACTTCGAATGAATTGGGAAAAACGTCACTATCCGAAATATGATACCTATCTGAAAATAGGCAACCTTTTTCTAATATAGAAGGAAAGGCATTTGTAATGAAACAATCCATAGGTACCTATAATAATCTTGAATATTATATAATTATTACTAAAACCAGTAAATGACAAAGACCATATATTTGATGTGAAAGGGGTATTATGAATTATTATTGATAATATGTTACATATCAATCCTGATGATCAGCTTTCGTTTTGACATTCTGAAATATCCTACGATTATCGAAATTAAACAAACATATTCTTGACTTTCAACCCCACTACTCAGTCCACGATACATCTACCAGACAGTGCGTATTTTCCTCTGCAAATTCCCAAAGTAACAGCAGTACCTGGATAAGGATTTATTTTATTCCAGAAATAATCCTTGCAAAACTTGTTATCCAGACTATACTTCTTCTCCAGAAGACCTTCGTACATATCCAGAGAAGTCTGGGAATCTGAGGAGGGTTTGAGATTTGGTTTCGGGGATTCAACGATGGAATTAAAACCTTGAATAGAGTCATTAGCTTTGAGGGAAGATATGCTTGGTCTGGCATTTTGATAGACAAACTTGACGTCTGCACATGGTAGGTAAAACTTTGGATTTTGGGGCAGGAAGTCATAAGGCATTTTGGCATCTGGTTCTGCATTTTCGAAAAACCTGAGGAGGTTATGTTTCACGATTTGGATTTCTTCTTCACGCGTGGTCGAATCCGAGTGCTTCATCAAATCGATTGTTACATTTACAGGTGGATGAGAAGTGTCTTCTTCTTCAGCTTGTACCGATGATTTCACAGCTGCTTCGGTTATCTCTATAGTCGGGTTATCGCTTTTGCATTCTTGGTTGTTGATGATTTCTGTATTGAAATAGCTTTCAAAGCTAGTTATACTGCAAGAAAAATGAGTCAAACATTACAGGAACCTTCATACCAAGTCTATGTGGGTATAGTGCAGGTGGAACTATCGGAATATTTTCTGATAGATCAGGGCCTATCAATGAAAGCTCTTGCATGTGATCAGGTGAAATCTCAAATTAGACATTGAATTCATCGCGGAATATTGAAGTTTATAACGTGATTATTCTAGAATCAATATTTATCACTCATATAACACATATGTGTGTCCATTGTATGTCGATTACTCGTCCATCAGTGCCTGGATGTCCATGGACATCCGTTGGGCATCCATTTCGTAGATGTACAATGGACATCGAAATTTGAACATCCATTGAATTTTTATTCTGTGTCCATCAGGCAGCGAAATGTTCATGGACACCCATTGGATATCTATTTTGTAGATATACAACAGATATCTGAATATGTACAATCATTAGATGTCCACTGTGTGTTTATCAGGCGATATGACGCTCATCGACATTCATTGAACTTACATTTTGTAGATGTGAACAATGGACATCTGAATAAGTACATCCATAGGGCATCCATTTTGTTGATGAACAATGAACATTTGAATTTGTACATCCAATGGATATCCAGTATAATATAACCAATTATCCATGGTTACTAAATGTGAAGAATTTCAGAAATCATCAGTGTTCATAGATAATAATGTTTGAAACCTCACGCGATTTACAGACTCTACGTCAGCGGTGCCATACGGTCAGGAAAGAAACTGTCTCTTCTGATGCCAAAGACGCCATTACTGTTTACGGTTCATTGTGTGTTTGTTGGTGTGGTGTGCATATCATTGTGCATTGTTGTGAAAGAAATAGTGATGGTGATCAAAACATTTATGGGCCTACAGTTAGATTGATCTATAATATGTATCTCATAAAGTTTATGTAAGAAGATTATATTCAAAAATAGCAGTGTCTGTTAGTCAATGTTCAAAATGTAAGAAACATGATAAAAACATTCTTTTTCTTCTATTTATTGTGTGTATTTATAATAAATATCCAGAATTAACATATTCTATAGTGTCACCAAGAATACCAAGATAAGGTTGCCGAGCATGGGAATCTCGGCACCCAATTCGAATCTATTTTACAGTTTCCGGATTCCCTATGCTATCCGCAACCTTATCTTGGTTACAACTGATGTACTCATATTATTTCTTCATTCTACCCTCCTGATATAACTTCCCACATATCCAATGGATTGTGGCTCCGAATTTTTTTTTCTTCAAATGAAATGATCCATTTTTTTTCATAATTTGATGAAGCCCATCAATCTGAGTTCAAACATTTATATCATTCATATATTATTATCGAAAAAAATTTGAACCATTTGATATGAAATGTTTTTTTCTTTAGCCATCCTGTATCTTGTTGATATGAAGAAAAAGTGAGCACGAATTCAAAAAAATTCGTGAAAAATTATTCCAGAATGACCAAAATATGTTGAGAATCACAGGGATAAAGGGGGGGTGACACATTCAGGTGGGACACCCTGTACAATGGATATGAATTGAATATCCATTCGCAATCCATTGGATGACTGAAGGACATATATTGAACATCCATTGGATGCCCAAAAATTTTCCATTTGTCATTTTATCAAGCACTTTTATTATCATTTGTGCCCAGTTAGAAACCTATTGCATTAAGGAAGTTTCAACAAATTTTTGACAAATGTGTCTTAGAGATTATCATGTATTATGTATATTAACAAACAATGGCTTAGTTCTATATGAAATTACAGGTTCCTGACTGGTTTGTTGCTGATAATCTATCATAGATCTTCAAAACTATGAATCACATCTGAATAGGTCAGTTCGTATGAACGATGACAAATAAGAATTACTACTAACCTCGTGGGTGCAGTATCGATATCCACAAGACAGGACGAACTATTATCCAATGATTTTGAGGCAATGAACTCATCTCTATCTTTCTCTTTGAAACACAGACACTTGAGGTATTTCTTATCTTCGAACAGCTGTCTTCCTCTCCTGTTGCACTGATAGTCTTCCCATCTGAGCTCTTCAACGGATTTGTCCCTGTATTCTTCCATGAACACGAGGACGTGGCATTTCACTCTGTATTTCATATTCCAAATTTGATCGGACCCACATGAGAAGTGATATTTGATCGGGGTGCCGAAAATATCTGATTTGTAGACTGTGTTGAGGGAAGGAAAGTTTTCCAAATAAGGTGTGTCATTTATGCTGGGACTCGTGGGAGGCTTCCCTGATTTTCTGGATTTCGACTGGGACTTTCTGCTTCTCTTGGAAATTTTCGTTACTCTTCGGAAAGTTAAAGACATGGTTTCACGAAGTGAATTTTGTCGAGCTGCTGATTTGATAACATCAAAATTTTGTATTATTTGCGTGGTTAGAAGTGTATGTCAAACTATTGTCAACCTGTGAAAAATGTTTTGGCTGTAGCTGAATCTCATGGCGGTCCACCAATGGTACTAGATTATGCAATAAAGATGTAGTGGAATGCGTTCGATTATTAACTCTTTTTTTGCTCTCTTATTGAAGAAAGATAAGTTTACTTTTAGTTTTATTCAGTTTATTCTGGGTTTGTGAGCGAATATACAGGGTGTCCCAACTCTATTATAGACGCATTTCCTCAAAAACGGGTGATATTATAATATGAGTAATAACATCACGATGTTCTGATATCTGAAATCATCATGTTGGGGAAGACACGATCAGGAACAATGAAACAACAGAAATGAAAACCATATAAAAACAAACAATAATAACGGCGTGGCAGATGATGGGCACAAAAATATCTAAGCCTGTCCTGATGGGAGCACACCTAATCAACGACATACGTCTGTGGTTGTAAGCAATTTCGATAATCACGGACATTCTTTTCATATCTTGGTTCTACTGCGTCGGCGCAGAACCTTAAGGTCAAGATCTCCATGGGAGGCGTAAAATATTCACGCGCAAGTAGCTGTATCGGCATTCCATTTGTAGGGTTATAGTTCAGTGGTCTCAACACCAACAAAGCTTGTGGCTCCGACGGAATCCCACCGATTGTTTTCAAGAAATGTGCTCCCGAACTGACACCTGTTCTCTGCAAGTTGTTCAACTACTCTAACAAATTGGGGATATTCCCGTCCAAATGGAAAATTGCAAGAGTACAACCACTTCCTAAAAAAGGCAAGACCCTACCTAGCAACTACAGACCGATATCACCAAGGAATTCGATCGAGGCTGGCACCACGGACTCCTCGCCAAGCTTACATCTTATGGCTTGCCTCCCCAGCTATGTTCTCTGCTAGCTAGTTTTCTCTCAAACAGGTCTCTCCATGTAGTGGTTTACGAAGTTTCATCTGGTCTTATCATAAATGCTGGTGTTCCGCAAGGATCAAATATAGCACCAACACTATTTCTACTCCATATCAACGATTTGTTGAAAGAAATTTCATGTCCAGTACACAGCTTCGCGGATGATAGTACCCTCCATACCGCCTTCTCTTCCAGGGCTCCAATACCAGCCATGCAAATCAAAAACTAACGAGGGAGAAATGTTGACAACATAAATATGAACTTGGCCACAATTCTCGAATGAGGATCCAATAATTTGTTGATTTTAATGGAAACAAAACACACGCATGCCTTTTCTCTAGAAAAGCCCATCTCACTCTACTCAACATGAGCTTGTCAGGAGTATCCATACCTTTAAAGACATCCATTTCGATGCTTGATATTACTATCACCAATCACCTTTCTTGGGAAAATCACGTGAGATCAATTGCTAGAAGTGCATCTCATAACTTGATTTTCTGTTTCCGGCCAGGAGCTATTTCACTTCCAGTCAGCTGCTTATGATCTATAAGGTACAAATCCGACCTGTCCTGAAATACTGTTCCAATATTTGGAGTGCAGCACCCACACATTTCCTGAAACTGTTGGATTCTGTCCAAACAAGGGCAATTTGTCTCGTGGGTGATGCCTCGTTCACAAACTCACTCACTTCTCTGGAACACAGTAGAAAAGTTGGTGATCTGGCCCTATTTTTTAGTTATTTCCATGGACGATGCTCTTCTGAAATATCAACAATTGTTCTTCCCTTGGCAGTCCCCGCGAGATTAACCCGTCGAGTTAAGGCTTCGCACCCCTTCGTAGTCACTTTGGAGACCTGCAAAACATCTCTTTCCAAAGACTCGTTCATCCAACGAACAGCGAGGCTCTGGAACACATTGCCAAGGGAGGTGTTTCCCGAGGCATATAACCTCCAGAAATTCAAGGAGAACACCAATTCCTACATTATTTCCCTTGGTTCTCACGATGTTCTCTGAACTTTACAGGATGTCCTTTTTCGTGGGAACCAGTACATAAAAAAATATTATTCTAAACGAGATCCTTGGTATGTTTCAAAATCCGCATATATGATTTTCAGAGAGGGATCTTCCATTTAATATGTATATATCATCAGGAAAGGAAATATCAAGACCATCGAAATAGCCACCACTCATAAAATACAGTAATTGGAAGAATCAGTTTACTATGCCTTGGCCTTGTTCTTCCCAATCTCTGATCATCTTGTTATCAGAAGAATTGAGATGGTCAACGTAAACAAAAACTAAGTAATTGCGGTTGGTTCAGAATAGTTGCATATAATGGATCTATCAAGTTTAGATAAAACTTGGTAAATCATTGTAGTTTTCAGCAGCTCTGCTGTATAAAAGAGGATCTTATTTTTTCAAATAATTTCGAGCTGGCACTAAGAAATTATTCTTCGAACATATATAATATACGCAACATCTTTGAAATATTCTCACTCAACTTAACGATCAACTATACCTCAATAATTCACCGATGTTGAATTTGTTTTCTCAGTAGGTAATAATATGTATTTGCTATCAAACCTTTCAAGTTAATTCTAGTACACGGTATATTTTAGTGTTTGGCAAGCCAATGTAAGTTTGGTTTATTGTGCCAGTATTACAGAAGAAGCTAGTTGCCATGTTAATTGGTACCGAAATTTGTTGCGTTCCAGACTAAAATAGTATGATGACCAAGACGGTGCGAACATTTTGGTCTACTTTTGTATAGCCTTAAATTGACTTGAGTGCAAGTGACAGTCATTGCATGAGTTCTCATAATAATATTACATTCAATTTCAGCTACTTTCGTATCCAACTAAAAGATTTTATTCTCAATTTATGAATCCAAGTGGAGTTACACTACCTAACTTGAAAAAAAATCGAATCAAAACAAATTTGGCTCGAAATTTGGTATCGTTAGTCAACTGAAGATACATGATAAGAGCATGCCTTGACTAAGGCATTTGGTCTGAATTTAGTAAGATCTCCTTAGTGAGCATACCAACTATCCATCAGTATAAACGTGGCTACTGCCTTAGGAAAATCACTAAGGTATTTGTGTAAATCTCATTGTTTGTGAAGTTTTTTACATTTACTATGGATTCACATCAAGTAACGGTCGAGTCAATTCAACTTTCAGAATATTATAGCATCATGTAGGTTTCTACGAAAGTCCAACTCATCAAAAAGATATATTCATCGTGCTTGTTCATGTTATGTTTGAAGCAACTATATAGTCCAAGAGCCATCTCTTCTTCTAATTGAGTCACCCTATTCCTTTGATTTTATGTGATATCGAACAGTTTCTTCTAATGAAATACATCATCCTTTTTACAGCTATTTTGCATATCTTCGCACTAGAATGATAAGGTACTATATCTGGACCAAGTATAGTTGCTCAGAATCGTGCTGCGAACTTATTACTCCACCTATTTCGTTCCATTTCAATCGATCAGATTTCTTGTTCTGATTAAGTATATTTGAATGGGTTGAAGTTTTTATCAGTTGCTTTTTTTCCATCCTCCATTCTCAAATAAATGTTAATTCGAACATTTCAAATGTAGATAGAACTTTGTTTCAGAAAGATTTTTTATTGTAGTGATTAAACAAGGTTCTAACTGACAAATAAACAATAAAAAACATCTTTGTTTCATAAAATAATACCAGAAAACTAATTTGAGATATTCCAAGTGCCATCAGTATATTCCGACTTATCCAAACGGAGAAGTACAAAATGACTATTTCAACTTAGATCTTTCAGGAATGCAGCGAAATAGTTTCTGTCAGTCTCGTTCATGTAGCATTCATTTTTATAAATGCGATCACCTACTCCCAATGCAGCAACTTGGAAGGAAGGGATATTTTTGTATTGGAGTTTCTTGATACAACTTTCGAAATCTTTGAAATCGGTAACTTTCAGCTACTGAGATGTAGTACGGCTCCTTTCTTTCACTGCTTTCAAGTTCTTGATGAAAAATAAAGGTGAAAAAAATCAGTTCCAGTTTATGTAGTTCTCACTATGACTGTGAATGTTTAATGTTGATGAACTGGGATTACAAGGGTGTATAAGTATTGGTTTCATGAAAAAGAATTCTATCTGGGTGTAGATATAGGACCATGACGAATCAAATTATGTAGTTATGATGTTGTTACAACAAATCAAGAGAGAAACATTCTGTAGATAGAACTCTGCATTATGATTAACTCACTAAAAAACTATTCAAATTATCGTTGTGCAGTTTGGACTTCTCTATTCTGATATTCTTCAAGTTTTTTGACTGGTTCACCTTCTCACCTAAACTTCCGGTTCTACCGGAAACAAACAAGCCATTATTCAGGTATAGGGCAACTTTGATAACATTGCATAATCTCATAAAACCATTCCACAAGCAATAGCTGTTTCGAAGAATTGTGACTCTAATAGTTTTCTAGGAGAACATAACTTGTGATACATTGTTAGATAGAGAAGAGACCAGTTTTTCTGAATGTGCAAAAATATTAAGGGTGATCCTATGAAATAAAAAAGTTGCCCTATATATACCTGGATTATTGCTTGTTTGTTTCCGGTAGAACCGGAAGTTCAAGTGAGAAGATGAACACGTCAAAAAAAAATTTAAAAACATCAAAATAGACTAGTCCACACCCCACAGCTATAACTTGAATGGTTTCAGAGATATGAGCATTTGAAATGGGTCAGAATATAACTGGTCACCCGGTATCAACAAATTGCGATCGTCGATCTCTCAAAATGGAGAATTCATCAGATAGAACCCTGATATGCCAAAATCTCAATTTTGGTAAAAAAAGCAGATAAGTAAAACCTTATTATTCTAGGGCGACGATATGTCTACAAGAGTTCTTCTATAATTTTTGTAACGATAATATGCCCGGAACTGTAGATTGATTTTGAAATAATAAATGTTTTTCTGAAACAAATAGTTATCAGAAAATCTCGGGTTATCATTTTTACCAGCAGGTTACCAGATAACCAACCCGTTGCATCCTGAAAGCAATAAATTCTACAGAGCTGAATTTATTTTCATGGAGTTTTCCAATATCTATAAGTAT